CATTCTCACTTATCTCATTCTCTCTCACTATGATGCTGTCTCGTTGTTGCTGTTCTGTTCTCTTCTGTTCTTGCTATTTTTTATTACACACCTCAGCTGTTCATATAGCGTTTCCAACAGCCCTCCCTCTAGCCAGGACCAATCAGAGCTCACACACGTGCAGCGGCCAGGCAGAGTGCAGCTCATTACCCACGTAGCAAGATCATCAGGCTGGCAGCACCTGTTTTGGGGCTCACCATACTTCAGAGTTGGGGTAAACAAGCGGGATTCACGAGCCTTGGCAATCAGCCAAGAGTTGAAGTAAACAGCACAAGGTTTGGCAGCCAGCCAGGGCTCCATCTTTGGCTGGCTCGGCTGTGCTCGCTTCCCACAAGGCTGGACCTCAGTTCTCCCAGTGGCACCTTGCAGCCCTCCCACCAGGCTCCTAGGAGCTCGGCCCCAGCTTCTGTTTCAGGTCCAGCTAAGAATGGAAGCCAGGTGGAGATATGGCTGGGCTGTGAGACCTAGTCACAAGGAGCAGTCTGAAATAAACCCTTAAGTTCACTGCTTAACCTATGAACTCAAGACTTAAAAAAGAAAAAATAAATCTTGGTAAGCCATCGAATTTGCAAAGCAACCTCCATCTCTGAGCTAAGACTCAGAATCTCGGGGTAAGATTCATTCTGAGTTGGGATAAGAGAACAATCTAGTCTCCTGCCGGGTGTGGCAAAGGTTCCCTACCTCAGAATTACACAAAGCAACAGGATAGTTCCAGTTACAGGACTAAGGTGAGATACAGAGTGGACTAGACCCCGGCTCTATCAAGGACAAGTGACTGTCTCATACATAGATGCAAACCACAACTCTCCAACTCTGTGAACTTGTGCAGCATAGTGGGATGTTGGGCCAGGCCAGGCCAGGCCAGGCCTCAAATGCCTCCCTGAATCCTAGAAGGTTGGCGGTCACTCCTTTCTGACATCAGACCCACTGTCTGAGGCAACAAAGAAACAAACCCATAACCAGCCCACTCAGGCTGCCCACTGTGTCCCTGCCAAGAGGCAAGGCCACACATATGAACTAAACCAGCAAAGTATAGCAGTTGTAAAATGGGCAGGTGAGGATATGTGGCAGTAACTATCTCTGTGGGCATGACTGGCAGCTCCTCACCCTAAGGGGTGTGTGTGTGTGTGTGTGTGTGTGAGAGAGAGAGACAGACAGACTGACTGACTGACTGACTGACTGACTTAAGGACACTGGAGTCCCAGGTGGGGGGGGGGAGTTAGGCTCGGGTGCTCTGCCCCTGCCTCAGTGTCTTGGAGAACTAAGATCATGGTATCAAGAACGACGGGACCCAAGATGCCAGGGAACTCGTAGAGGGACAGGATGGAGTGCTGCATGGCTGTTGGAGGGGCAGTAGGCTGATGCCATAGGGTTTGGAAAGGGGCCTCTGGCTGGAGGGTAAGAATGAAGGGGGGAGGCAGCCAGGTGGTGAGGGGACAGGACATGGAGGTGGGGGGGTGACAAGACACATACACACAGTGGGGGGAGGACATGGAGGCAGCTCCCACCCTTGGACAAGGTGCCCACAAGGACCGTGTATTTCCAGCTTGTCTCTCTAGAGGGAGGTCCAACCTCACAGGATAGGCCAACACCCTCCCCAGAGGACCACCCTTGAAGCTCTGTACCAGTGTAAGCATGGTAGTGTGCCCAGAGGAGGGTCACAGCTGCCTGTCCCAAGGCAGACAAGGAGGTGCCAATTTCAGGTCAAAAGAAAAGGTTGTTCATTTTTTCTCTTAGGGAGGACAGGACACCAGGATAGGGACTGTGAGGTTGGCAAGGTCTCTGGGGCTTGGTACCAGGTCAGTGCTGTTGCTGCAGACACCAAGGCACCTTGACAACCCAGAGACAAATGGCTGATACTTCTCTTGAGGGCAGACACTCCTACCAGTTGCTCCAGGTATGAGGAAGGCATGGCCTGGAGTTCCAGCGCTTTCTCTTCAGCCTGACAGCAGTCCCTCCTTTGCAGGCCAAGAAACAGCAGAGGAGGTCTGGCTCACTGAGGAATGGAAGCTGACCCACGTTTCTGAAGTCAGCTAGCTCCAAAGGCCTGCAAGTTTCCAAGACAAAATCACAGCCCCGGCTCTGATGTCTCACTTTCTCAGAAGGCTGCATATGGCACACTCCTCTGGGCCCGGCTGGCTGTCTGGGAAGCAGAACCCTGCCCACCCAGAAGCCTGGGCACCTCAGGGTCGGAACAGCTCCTGCTCATCGTCCTCAGAGCCGGATGGGCCCTGGCGCACCTCCTCGTACCACTTGTTGGTGAGACTTTTCATCTGGATGCGCCCGTGGTGGAGGTCCTGGAGCAAGAGACAGAGCCCTGTCAATGGGGGTTGGGCGGGGGGTCAGGGAGGCTATGGGGCGGAGGTAACGGAGGGCACTGAGAACCTGGAGGGGAGGAAGATGGCAGGTTAGAAACTCGCCTCTAGAATCAGAAGCATTTGAGTTCTGTTCCCAGCTTGGCATGCAGCCTGTTTGCCTGTGTGTAGGGGCTCCCTTCCCTGTGCCTCAGTCCCCCCAGCTGTCGAGGGTATATGACACTATCATGAGGGATGTTAAGAAAGGTAGGGCAGTGTACCCCAAGCCCCAGGAGGAGCCTGTGTGTCAGAGGGACCCACTGAGGCCCTGATGAGCCTGAGACTTCTTGACTCAGCTTCAGGAACTGATTCACATCCTCAGAGGGCAGTTGGGAAAACAAAACTGTTAACAAAGTCCTACAAATGGAGTGCTAAGTGTTCGGGGGAGGAGAAGCAGTGGAGGTCACCCTGGCCTGGGGTGTCCTGAGGAGAGGGCAAGGATCCTGCCTACCTCCTGTGTGAGTCGCCTCGTGAAGAAGGGGTTAAGGTACTTGGCATCCAGCCACATGAAGCCCTTGAGGTCCTGCTGCCTGATGTAGTGAGCCTCGTACTCCTCCTCGGTGAGCTCCGACAGGTGCTCCGACTCAATGGTGTTGCCCTGTGACAGGAAGCCGGGAGTGTCGGGAGCACCTCCCTGGGAGCCCCCACACTGCCTAGGTGCCAGTGTCCCCACCCCTAACACACTCTACCCCAGTGCAGGTGACTGTGGGCAGTTAGCCTCCTGTGATCCTATGGGGACGTTCTCGAGAAAGCCGATGCCCCGACCCCACGTGGTGAGGTTCAATAAGCTCTGGCTGCAGGTGGGCAGGCTTCCACCTAGCAGGTCAGAGCAGGGGAAGGGAGGTCTGGAGGTCAGGACTGGACTTCCAGCTGCCCACCTCAGCAGGGAGGTGCAAAGACACCAGGATCAGAGTGCGGCGTCTCCAGCTCCAGGGCTCCCACCCTGGCCCATGGTGCCCAAGGAGAAGGTGGAGAAGTGATCTGTCAGTCACTGGGGGTTGGCCTGGGAATGCTGAGCCACCCACAGGCTGTAGTTTCCGGTGCAGCAGGGCAGTGCTGTGGCCCCCGAATCTGTACATCTAACAAGCTCTCCCAGCTGTGGCTGGCTTCCGGTCCCTACTTTGAGGACTTGGTTAGAGTGTGATGGCTGTGTGTGCAGGCTCTGAAAACTACCTCAGCACCTTTTTATGTGGGGTAGAACCACGAAAGTGCCCACTTCCTTGGGTTCATATGTGTGGCAGCGTGCTTTCCATCCCCAGGGTGGCTGTAGCCTTAGCAGAAACGGTGATTTGCACATGGCTCACTCCTGTAACTCCCATCACTTGGGAGGTTGAGGCAGGAGATCTGCAGGGCCAGCTAAGTTGATAACACAGAGAAGGCCAGCTTGAGTGAGACCTTATCTCAAAAACCAAACCAAAACACCACCAAGCAAGCTGGTAGCCAGAAGCTGAGAAGGATGGCTTTTGAACAGAGCCTAAGGTCACCTGGAGGCTCTGGGCCACCAGTCCTGACTCTGCACTCGCAGACGTGCCATGTGAAGCTCCCTGGCCTTTAGTCTTGAACAGGAAAACTAGAAAGAAATACATCTCAGGAACAGGGAGGGGGACGGGGGCAGGAGCCAGGGCACAGGGCAGGGCCTGCTGTCACCACTAAGCTGACAGGGCCTGAGCACCTCCAGTCCTAAACCTCTCCTCTGTCCTTGTTCGTGGCCTTTACAGCTACTACAAGCCACCATCCCCTCCTTGACCCCATCAAGAAGGAGGAATGACATGATTTTGAACCCTCCCAGTCCCTGACCTGGGCTGGTGGCTCAGCTCATGGTAGGAGGGACCCTCTGTTGGGAGTCTGGTGCAGGCCCAGGCTCTATCTCCAATGTCCTGGGCTGCAGATGGTGCCAGCCCTCAGCCTCTATGGCTTTAACAGTTCCCAGGGCTAGCACACAGCCTACCCCAGAGCCACGATGCTGCTCCTGTTCTCACTCCAGGCCACTGAACTGGTGTGTGTGCAGGTGCCTGTGCAAGCTCCAGGCACCCCCGAAGCCCGACCCCCGCGACAGGCTGCGGTACTGACCATCTTCTCGGTCTTGCTGAGGTTGACGTCCTTCTTGCTCCTGCGGCGTGCCCGGGCATCCTCGATGTCCACGAGGCGGATGAGGGGCATGGTGCTGCCACCCAGCAGCAGGATGGTGAACAGCACGATGACGATGGTGGTGGTGCCAATGAGCTGCCGCTTCTCCATGGGCTCCAGGCCCAGGTGCAGACTCAGTGCGTAGGGGATGGCCCCTCGCAGGCCTGGGGATGTTTAGACAGTCAGGGCAGAGCAAGGAGAAAACAGGTAGGGGTGGGGTCCTGGTGGGTTCAGCCCAATACCACAGCACTCCACACAGCACAGCACTGTACTGCATAGGCCTGTCAAGGGCATGGACAGAGGGGGGCAGGTCCTGACTCTGCCTCCAAGGGTCCTGGGATGCCACCAACAGTGGGACTGTATCAGACCCACTGGAGTGGCCCAGGGGACAAGAGGGCAGGCTACAGCAGCCTGACCCAATCCCCTGGCAGGTGTTGCACAGGCTGGCCACATTATCTAATGGCGACCTGATCAGCTACTGTGTAGCAGGTGTTCAGGGATCTGTCAGACCTATCACATGACAGCTATGGTGGCTGAGTCCTTCCTGGGTGATCCAGGTCCCTAGCTAGGTGCTCTGTGCACAGATAGGACAGCCTGTCAGAAACCCAGCAGCACTGCTGCTCTCCATGGCACACAGGAGGGGCCAGGCTAGGGAGGAAGTGTCCTGCCCAGGGCATGAGCATACACAGGCAGTAGTGAGCATGCAGTCTGACTGGTGACTGACTGTTGTGTCTGAGGGAGCTGCCTCTGCAGAGCCTGTTGGCAATGCTGTTGTGGGCAAGACTGAGGGTGTGGCTGCTATTGGGTGACAGCTTCTTTGCACCAGATCTACCTGTCTCCCAGAGCAACTGGGAGAGACAGCAAACACAACACTGAATGCCAGAAGAGTCCTGGGGAACAGGGGCAGGGATGGGATGGCCCAGACATGGAAGCAGAGAGCCCCCTTGAGAGGCTGAAAGGTATGACTGCTGTAGCAGTCCAGACCTGAGATGGCAGGACCTCAGGAGAGGGTGGAATGCAGAGATGGAGACGGGTAGCCCACGAAGGCCACAGGCTGAGGTAACCTGACAAGTATGATGCTCAGTACACACCCCTCAATGCCAGTGAAGTAGCCATGCATACCCTGCTGCTTCTCAAGGAAGTCAGGGGGAGGGTGAGCCAGGCAGAGGCTTGGGCTCAAGGAGCTTGGTGTGGCCCGTTGGCATCCAGAGGCAGAGAAGATTGGGCTCCAGAGGAAGGGTGAACCCCAGTGCAGCCAGGTATCAAATTCAGAAGGAGGCAGGGTCAGGCCCTAGGACACCACTGTCTGGCGTCAGTGCAGGAGGTACCTGGTGGGAGGCTGGGAGCCCCATGAGGGTGGATGATATGTCTGCCATAGGTAGGCAGCTGGGGTGGGAAGGAGGAGTCCGAAGCCCAGCAGGGATACTGCAATGAGGGCTGACCACTGCAGGAACCAAGGCCAAAGCCAGCACAGGAGATGGGAAGTGAAGTGGAGAAAAGGGGGATGGGATGAGGAGCCAGGAACAGCTGGGGTCGGGGGAAAACATGTGACTGATGTGGCTGGGTTTTTACTGGGAGAGGAGACTTTAAATGATGGTAATTCCAGCACTTGGGATGCAGAAGCAGGAGGACTGCTATAAGTTCAAGGTCAGCCTGGTCTACATAGCAGGTTTCAGACATACATAATGAAACCCTGCCTCAAAGAAACAAAAAACAAAACAGGAACAAATAAGATGATGGAGCAGGCAGAGATAGGGGCCGAAGATCAGGTCGGAAGGCAAACATGCCTGAGACGGGCCTGGTTAGCTCCAGCCTGGCAGGGAAAGAGGAAAGAGCAAGGGGCCTCGGACTCCATCTAACACCCACGCCCATGGTGTTTTCCTTACTACCAAGTCTCTCACATGACCTGATGAAATGCCTGGCACACTTCTGAAGACCTGGATTGATTACCTCACAGTTTTCCTCATTGGTAACGATGAATTAAAAAAAAAACAAGGTTCTTTCATTACATGTGAACACATACATACATGCATACATACCAAACACACTTTTTCTGTTTATGTGAGACAGGGTCCAGGTATAGCCTAGGCTGGCCTCAAGCTGGCAATCCTCCTGCCCTCTTCTCCCAAGTGGCTGGAATGACAGTCATGTGCCAGTGTACCTGGCTCACACATTTGAAAAAAGAAGGCCTTTTTTATTTTTGTGGTTTTGAGACGGTCTCCCTGTAGCCCCAGCTGGCCTGGAATTCACCATGTACACCAGGCTGGCCTCAGACTCACAGAGATCATCCTCCTGCCTCTACCTCTGCCTCTAGAGTGTTGGGATTAAAGGTGTGTGTCATCATGCCTGGCTAAAATAAGGCTTTTTTGAAGAACAATTATAAGACAAGTTTACAGGTCTGCTGATGGAGGAAAGATTACGAAGCATGCTGCCATACGTCAGCCCACATGGAAAATTTAAATTATGTGTGAACAAGAAACACGAACTCCATGTACTGCTCAAAACAAATGTAAGGATCTGGTTCTTTAGGAGTCAAAGATTCATGAAATCATTTCCAGTCTTGAAAGAGTAGAGAAATGTGATTGAACAGCAGCTGAAATGCTCAAATTAAACCATGAGAATGGTGATGGGAAGGGTAAGAAATGCCAGCATGTGGCAGCTGGGCTGTGGCTCAGAGGCTGACAGCCTGCCTAGCATGGGAGGCCCTGGGTGCCATCCCCACCCCAGTACCTCACTGCACTGCACCGCATAGCACCACACCACCCTACATACCCAGTATCACACAGCACCACACCATACAGAACCACACTGCACCACCTAGTACTGCACTGCATAGGCCTGCCAAGGACATGGACAGAGTGGGGCAGATCCTGGCTCTGCCTCCAAGGGTCCTGAGATGCTAGGCTTGTCCTTTGCCCACCTGGAACCAAAGCTTCCTCATCTCTGGGACAGACAGGGGACACCCACTTCACCCACTATGATGAGGGTGTCATCCATGGGGGCCTGGCTGACAGTACAGAGGGTGCTTAGAGCTGCCGTGGCTCCAGGCACTGGCTTCTAAGGACTAAGAAGACAGGCTCAGGACCTCGCCTTCATCCTGGCACTTACCACTGAACCACATGATGAACATCATCTTCGGGGTGATTTTGTGATCTCGGAAGAAGTTCAGCAGATAGGACAGAGGGAAAATGTTGACTGCTCTGCCGAACAGTACCAGCACCTGTTAACAGCAACAAGCCAAGTGTGAGATGAACTCAGCCACATCTCCACAGAGACTTGGCCTAATTGACATAAGGTAATACCACTGCGAGGCAGCCTTGACCTCAGACACAGACACCAGTAGCATAGATGATGGCAAACAACCACACGGGGTGCTGGTGCCAACACCCAGTGGGATGACACTTCTGACTTTCCATCTCAGAAGCTGGAGGAGACTACTGAGCATCACCCATGGCTTCAGTTAGACAGAACAAAAGGGACACCAACAGCCTAGAGAGGTGCCCAGGGTGCTGAAGGGCAAGCTGACTCCACTATGGGATGGGCTTTATGCTACTCCCCAGTGGGTAACCTCTGGAGGGACAGGCAGGTGTGTCTGCCTCTCTGGGGCCCGGTCCTTGGGGCAAGGAGAGAGGGCTGATCGAGGCCCACCTGGCACCTGGGAGCACAAAAGGCGCTCTGAGCAGCATGCCGTGTTCCCCAGGAGGCTTTTTGTTCCTGCCGTCTCTAAGGGCTTGTTAGTCTTAAAACATAGCTCCATGGGGCTGGGGTGGGTCGGGGAGCTCAGGGGTAGGGCACTTGCCTCACACATACAAGGCCTTGGTTAGATTCCAGCACCACAAAGAATAAAAACAAAGCAAAACAGAGCATCATGCCAAGCTCCAATCTTCTTGGGAGGGTGGGGGGTCGTCATCTCAGGAACTGCTCATTACTGTTGCTTCCCTCCATGGCTGCCGGTGGGTGAGGTACATGCTCATGCTCACTCCTTTAACAGCCTGAGTGCATGCCGTGGCTGGCTTAACTACTTCTGTCATCAAACACTCCTGGGCTAGAGTCTACACTAATCAGTGTATTGTATGCTTTATACTAGGCTAAATTTAAGTCCTCACAACAGTCTGATGAGGTGGATACTGTTTCCATTTTGCAGAGAAGGAAACTAAGGCACAGAAAGTAACTGGTCCAAACTGAGCAGGCAGGAAGGGGTGGATCCATGTCTCCCACACCTGCTCTGGACTACCAAGTGGAGGCTGAGGGTGAAACTACGCCCCTCAGCACAGTGTGGATTCCTCAGGACAGGTAGCAGGGTGGCCTGTGCTGGTCTCCGGGGGCTGAGGGAACTGACTGGCCCTCCCCACACATACCTTGTTTTCCTGCCAGCCCATGGCTGAGAGTCCTTCCCCGTTTTACCCACTGAAATCCAATCTTCTTTCTACAGTGTTTCAGATTTGACTAACTGTGGCCCCAGCAAACAGTAAGACTAGCAGAGATTCTGTAAAAGGCCTTTGCTGTGTTGTCATTGTGAAACTTGAGTTCAGAAGGCAGGCAACTGTGACAAACAGCACCGAGCTCTCAGTGACAGGGATAGGAGAGGTGCTGTGCCCAGACAGCAGGGGGCCATCTTCCTCCTCAGGGCTCCCTAGCTTCTCTGTCAGCTGCCCTGCAACACAGCCAGGCCTTCCTGTCTCCTGGCCACTAAGTTCTGCTAAGCGGCCATATGCACTAACTATAGAGGAGGTGCAGGGCACTCCAAAAGCAGCAAGGTGCCTTTCCAGCCCTTCCAATCAATGGAAGAGCTAAAGAGAGAGCACATGAGGAGTTGGGGAACAAGTCAGTGTGGGACCAGCTCACACTGAAGAAACACAGAGGACCTGGGCACACAGGTGAAATGCCCACGTGTAAGAAGTCATTAGTGTCATCCAGATCAGACAGAGCAAGGACCCTTCTTTTATTTCTATTTTATTTTCCACGCTTTTTAAGTTTTTTTTTTTAATTTTATTTATTTTTATGTGTATGCGTGTATTGCCTGCATGAAGGTAAGTGCACCTGTGTCGTGCACTGCCCACGGAGGACAGAAGACACTCTCGGATTCCCTGGGACTGGAGTTACGGACAGTTGTTAGCTGCCATGTGGGTACTGGGATTTGAACCTGGCTCTTCTGCAAGACGAAGAGGCTGTCGGATCCCTTGGGACTGGAGTTACAGGACAGCTGCTAGCTGCCATGTGGGTGCTGGGATTCGAACCTGGGTCTTCTGCAAGAACAGCCAGTGTTCTTAACCACTGAGCCATCTCTCCAGCCCAGGACCCTTCTTTTAAATGCTGACCATGTAACTGCTCCACTCCAACCCCCAAAAGAACTGGGGTCCCCTATGATTGATCACCACCCCCCTTTTGGAGATAGGGTTTCGCTGTGTAGCTGAGACTGGCCTTAAATTCTTGATCCTCCTGCCTCCATCTCCTTTGGCTAAAACTGGACTGTTCAAAGGAAATCATGACACTCAAAATTCAAACACATCAAAATCCTAATCTTCCCTTTATTATATGTCTGTGATCTTTTTAACAAAAAAAACTTCAAACAGAAGAGTGTCTATGTAGCTGTTGACTTTGAACTGTTAACAGTTACATAAATGACTGCAGAACATGTAGTTATCGATCTAAAAATAAGTCATTAAATAAAAAAACAAGAAAAATACTTACTATGCACCAGATGACAAAGGAAATTTCAAACTTGTGAGGGAAACTAAAAATGGACAGGCCAAGAAATGCAAACACACATGTTTCTGAAACAAACCAAAGAATGGGTTATTCATCCCCAGTGACCCCCACATAGTGGCAAACTTAAGCATTCAGGAGCCCACCATTCAGGCAATCCACTTTATTTTGTGGGATAACCTTGTAACCGATAGATGCAACTGATAGATGTTAGGAGTGACCCATGCTGGCCCATAACTCAGCACCACTAAGTTTAAAGCTTTTCTTTTGTCTTTCGGAGTGAGAGGTGAGACAGGGTCCTGCTGTCTGCCCCAGCGGGCCTTTCAGGAGCACCATGCTGGGCCCCTTTCTCTGCTGTCACACACAGCATGTCCCTGTTCAGAATTTCCTGACAAAACAACTCAACTGTCAAATACTTTACACATATAAACAGGATCCCAGGAGATAAGAATGGATCTGTGCATGTGCTAGACACTGTAATTAGGGAAGACCCTGAAGGCGGCAAACTGGCAAGCCTTTGGTTAACTCCTTCCCAGTGCTGGGGGTTGGCAGAGCTCAAGGGTGGACAGAACATTTAACACTGCCAGAAGGTTCAGAAGGACTCGCAGGCAAAGATCCATTTCCAGCTCTGCCGTGCTCTGCAAACCCACACTCAGCATGTAAGCAGTTATTTGTACATGTTGGGGAAAAGCACCTTGTAAGTTTTTAGGCTTCCTGATTACACTACAGAGTCCTCCCCAAAGAGCATAGGACCTAGGCAGACAGGCACTGCATTTTAAAAAAACTTAAAACAAAATCAGAGAGGCTGTTTTAAAACATTTCAATATTTTTTTTGATTGTTTTTTTTTTTTTTTTTTTTTTGAGACAGGGTCTCACTATGTGGCCATGATTGGCCTGAACTCACTATGTAGATTAGGCTTGTCTGAAGGTCAGAGATCTGCCTGCCTCTGCCTCCTAAATGCTGTGGTTAAAGGCATGAGCCATCACACCAAGCTCAATGGTGTTTTTTTTTTTTTTTTTTTTTTGTCTTTTTGAGACAGGGTCTCCCTGTAGCCCCAGCTGTCCTGGAACTCACTATGTAGACCAGGCTGGCCTTGAACTCGCAGAGATCCGCTTGCCTCTGCCTATCAAGTGCTGGGACTACAGGCATGCGCCACCACACCCAACCCAATGGTGGTTTTTAACAGGCCTGTGTATTCTTTAAAACAGGACCACAAGGAGAGTTCACTCACCCTTCCCCTTCTTGAAATGTTTCCTTATCTACCAGATATGTGTGATCTTTCAAGCCAGCCATAGAGAACACACTAAAACAGATTCACTTCACATTTTTCCCTGGGAGCAGCAAGCCTAGTGCAGGGACACATGGTTAACTTAATCCATCCTCTTTGGGTGGCAGCTTGGTTCAGTTTCTGACACTTCAAGCCACAACAAACACCCTGGTATACTGGCTAAACTCTTCCTGGCTGAGGGTGTGGGAAAGAGCACATGTCAGTTAAATCCTGATAGATGTTAGGAGTGACCCATGCTGGCCCATAACTCAGCACCACTAAGTTTAAAGCTTGCCTCTGGGATCAGAACAGAAGCAGAAGCATATTTTGTTCCAGGCTCCTTTCAAGGTGAGAACCAGGGTCAGGATCTTTGGCCACATCTTTCTAATAAGGGCTGTGGGTCAAATACCCACCGGAGCAGGACTAAAGAAGAGACCCAGGTTCCTTCCCACTTCTTGGCAATGGGTCACCTAGCTTCTCCTTATTGGGCCTCCCTGTCCTTGCCCAGACAGCCCTGCCATCCAAAACACCAAGAGATGCGGATGATGATTGACTCTACCCCTGGGGCCAGCTGAGAGTGACGTTTAGAAGGTGGCTCCTTCATTCCCGGTACAAACCAGGGAGGAGATGTGTAGAAGGCTGCACAGGGAGAAAGCTCAAACCATCACTGCCTAAAAGAAAGTCCTCATGCTCTACTATAGTGACGCCACCCTGTGGGGTCTCTCCAGGAATGTCCTTCAGAATGCTCCTGTCAACCAGGCTCTGGGAACGAGGTTGGGAAATGCCCTTGCATAATGCTAGGATCCCCTTGCCTAGAAATGCTCAATGCCTCCTAGCTGGAAAGCTGTGCAGTTCCGAAGCCTGTTAATGTTACCCTGGGATCTCACCACAAAGCCTTGCTCATCTATCCTCATGAGCATCACTTCCAAGGAGTATGTCTGGAAATGTCACTTTCACACAGTAAAAACACATCTCAAAAGCTTATAATCACCAGTTCTATCCTTGGTGATAAATTATAGCCCCCAAACGGTCCATTTCTTAGGTGTTATGTCTATTTTATTGAATCACAAAGCCAGAGGAGCCAGCATAAGAGCAAGGTACCAGCTTGGAGGGATTCTGGGTCCCACTGCTAGGGAAAATCCTAACCTGCACCCCAGCAGGGCAGGACCCTTGATTTGTATGGCCACACAGAGGCAGAACTCACCACACAGGAAGGCCACAGTTCGGAGGGTCTGCTGCATGAGGATCTGCGTGACGGGAGACAGGTTATGGTGTGTGTAGTGTGACATCACAATACCCGAGAACAGGATGGCCATGATGCCTGGAGAGAGGGAGAGAAGGGCAGATATGAACAGACAGAACACTGGGACGTGTTTCCCAAATCAGATGGCACACTTCGTAAAGTTCCCAGAGCCTCACATTTTAGGGTTTTTTTGCTTGTTTGTCTTTTTGGAACAGGGTCTCCCTGTAGCCCCAGCTGGCCTGGAACTCACTGTGCAGACCAGGCTGGCCTTGAACTCACAGAGATCCACCTGCCTCTGCCTCCTGAGTGCTGGGACTACAGACATGTGCCACCACACCCGGCTACATATTAGGGGTTTTAAGAGAAAGGGAAAGGGAGACTGGGGCTGGGTGTAGCTTGGTTGGTAGAGTGACTGCCTAGCATCTATCCCCAGCTCCACATAATCCAGATGTGGTCGCACACACCCGTAATCCCAGCAACTGGGAGGCAGAAGCACTCGGACCAGAGGTTCAAAGTCATCCTCTGCTATGCAGCAAGTCTGAGGCCAGCCTGAGCTACATGAGGCCTTGACTCAAAGGAGGAGGAGCCAGTTGTGGTGGCACTTGGAAGAGGTAGGTGGATCTCTATGAGTTCAAGAGAAAACTACCTCAGGCCTCCCAGAGGTTACAGAGAGACAACCAGGCCCTGCTCTGTTACTAGCTGATGGCCTTGGCAGCTAGGTTGCTTCTTTCCAAGCTGAACTTCTCTTAGGGACAGTGGCTCCCACTCCCAGAACAGTCAGGGATGAAGCGAACTACACATCACAGCACCAGGCTAAACAGATGTGCAGTCACTGACGACTTGCCCTTAGCCTAAGGGTTGAGATGTGAAGAGTGGGCAGTGTCATGCAGGGTTCCACGACAGATAACTAGTTCTTGTACTGTGCAATACAAGTTTATCTTATCTTCATGTGGTGGTACATACAGGTCTTTAATCCCAGCACTTAGGGGCAGAAGCAGGTGGATACCTGTAAGATCAAGACTAGACTGGTCTATATAGAGAGTTTCAGGCCACCTGGGGCTATAGGGAGACCTTATCTCAAAAACCAAACAAACAAAAAAAAAAAAAAAATTATTTATTTAGGGGGGCATTCCATGGCACACATGACGTCAGATGACAACTTGTGAGAGTCTGTTCTCTCCTTCCTCCATGTGGGTCCTGGGAATGGAACTTAGATTCAGGCTTGGCAGCAAGTGCCTTTAGCCACCTTGCTGGTCCCAGAGGGGTCTTTTCAAAGGTCCCTAGTTCTCCCCTTTGTTCCTGTAATAGAAGCCCAATCCTCCCGAGGCCTGCAGAATCCTGTGGGGAGGCCTCCCATCCACAGGGTTTCCCTTCCCTCTGGGGGCTGTGAAGCTCAGGAGCCTGCCTAGTACCCTGGGCACCTGCAGTTCTGCAAAGCCTGCACTGGCACCTCCTGTTAGGGGAGACTGTCCTGACTGCTCCAGGGAGCTCCATTCTCAGTACTCTGAATTCGGTTCTTTCTAGTATTCTTCATTACCAGAAATCAGCATGTGCTTACCTACAGGCTGTCTTGTTTTTTATTTTTCTTTAAATATTTATTTACTTATTTATGTTTGTGTGTGTGTGTATGAGTGTATTGCCTACATGTGTGTAAGTGCACCCTTGTTGTGCAATGCCCATGGAGGTCAGAGGAGAGCATTGGATTCCCCTGGAACTGGAGTTACAGACGGTCGTTAGCTGCCATGTGGGTGCTGGGAATCAAACCTGGGTCCTCTGCAAGAGCAGCCAGTGCCCTCAACTGCTGAGCCATCTCTCCAGCCTCATATGCTTTGTGTTTGAAACAGGGACTCACTCTGTACCCAAGGCTGGCCTTAAATTCATTATGAAACCCAGGCTGGCCTTGAATTTTTGGTGGTCCTCCTGCCTCATCATCACCCCTACTGTGCTGGCATTAAAGGTATTGAGTCACCATGCTGGGCTTGTTTACATGCAGACTGTCTATTCTGCAGGCAAGAACCTGACCATGTACTGATTAATACTGGAGCCCCACAGCAAAGACAGTTCTCAGCACCAGGGGAAATTCACGTTTATCAAACAGATGAATGAACTGTTTTTCAACATGCTTCTTAGAAATACCATTTTTATTTTATGTGTATGAGTATATTGTCTGCATGAATGTTAAGTGCACCCCTGTTGTGCAAAGCCCATGGATGCCAGAAGAGGGCAGTGGATCCCCTGGAACTGGAGTTAAGGACGGTTGTTAGCTACCCATGTGGTGCTGGGAATTGAACCCGGTTCCTCTGCAAGATCAGCCAGTGCTCTTAACCACTGAGCCATCGCTCCAGTCCCCCAACCCCCAAATTTAACAACATTAAAAATAATTTAACAATTGGGGCTGGAGAGATGGCTCAGTGGTTAAGAACACTGACTGTTCCTGCAGAAGACTTGGGTTTGAGTCCCAGCACCCACACGGCAGCTAGCAACCATCTGTAACTCCAGTCCTAGGGAATCCAACAGCTGCTTCCGTCCTCCTTGGGCACTGCATGACACGACACGGGTGTACTTACCTACATGCAGGCAATACACACATACACATAAAATAAAAATAATAAAAAAAATTAACAACATAAGTCAGGCATGGTCATACATGCTTGTAACCCTAGCACTTGGGGGGTGGAGGAAAGTCAGGAGGAGTTCAAGGTCATCTTTGACTACATAATAAATTCCAGGAAAGCCTGGGCTACAGGAGATGCTAACTCAACCAAACAAAAAGTAACAATGTGTCCTGGAATTCTTCCCATTAGCTGCTGGTCAAGTTCCCTTTAGAGCAGTCTTCCCTAGTGGGAAGAGACCTGAGCAGACTAGAACTTGAACTTTCCCACTGCTGAGTTGCTGCCAGTTTTTTTCATGTGCATGGTTAAAGTCAGATTTCTTGATGACAGCCGTGTACCTCATGCCCTGGAACACAATAGTCTTTAGCCAACACCTCGACACTTCACAGAAGGCACTGCATCCTGACCAACCCTGCCATCCCATCCTTCAATCCCAGAAGTGCCATCCTCTGTGGCTCACTGGGTGGTACTTTGCTATGCCTGTCTACGGGAAAGGGTAGTCTATTCACCTTTGACTTTTTAGGGCTGGAGGCACAAGTGCTCTAAAACCTGACTTGACCAAACAATAAAAAGTTAGCACTGGTTCCGTGAGAAGCAGATTCTGAGAACACGCAGCAGCAGGTAATTCCCAGCGAGGGGTCTGAGCTGCTGCTGAAACCAGGGTGCATTTGAGAAAAGAGGTGCTAGTTCATCTTGTTGGGACAAAAGGGGAAAACTGGGGGCCTGGGCAGAACACCCACTGAGGCCGTCAGGACTGACAGCTTGACCTCCCCCCACCACTTCTCTCTTGACAGGGTTTCACACTGCCAGGCTCCCTGAATTTGCTATTGAGTGAAGGATAACCTCAAACTCGTGACCTCCCACCTCCAGAGGGGTGCAACACACACCCAGTTGATATGCTCTGGAATTTGAACCCAGGGCCTTGTGTGTGCATGGCAAGCACTCTAGGAACTGAGCTGCAGTCCCAGCCTGCAGTTCACTTTCTCCTCAGCACTGCTGCAAGCCAGCCTTTCATCACCTCTACCAGGAAGTGGGAGCCAGCAGTGTGAGTTCTAGACACGTGGCTTTAGGTAAATGGCTCCTGATTCACAGAACGTCCTACTTGTTGGTAGTGGGAGTCACTGACGGTCCATCCTCCAGACAAGAGGAAAGCAGGAGCATAGAAAGGAGAAGACAGCAGACAGCACCTTTTCCCAAATGTGCAACTTGGGGTGACTTGAGGGGTTCCACATAACCCACCATGGCCATTGGACCCCCTTCTCAGAAAATTATGAGTGGCCAATATCCTGAAGGCCAAGTGCAGACTGATCTGCCAAGGGCACATGCCAGCCGCCCAGCTCTCCGGTCCATGAGCACACCCTACAGAAGCAAGTGCCTATGAATGGGAAAAACCACCTGACAATGAGAAATCTTGCCTTGCTGCAGCCATAAACTGCACATAAACCAGCATATGAGCCCTCTTTGCCAACAGGTGTTCAATAATAAGCTCTAGAGAGGGAGGAACAAGCTAGAGAAGCTAAAAATAGCCAGGCTGACCCAGTGACTCACAGGTAATGTTTATGGGAGTGCCATAATTAGGCAAAGATAAGACAGGGAGCCGGAGGGCAGACAGAGAAGAAGGTTGAAGCTATCCTGGTGGCTGGCTTAGGGGTAAAATGAAGCCCAGGGGTTCACAGTGGGCCAGCATGTGGCTCAGGAGAGGAATGTGGCTCATGCTTGCCTAGCATGTAAGAAGCCCTGGGTTTGATCTATAGTACTGCCATCAACTGGGTGTGGGGGCACACACCTGTAATGCTAGCACTGGAGGTAAGAGGCAGAGGCAGGAGGAACAAGAATTCAAGGCCAACCTCAGCTACATAGAAAGTCTGAGGCCAGCATGGGATACAAGAGACACTGTTTAAAAAAAAAAAAACAAAAAAAACCAATGAACCAAACAAAAACCAACAAAAAACAGGGGGCTGGAGAAACGGCTCAGCAGTTAAGAGCACTTACAGAGGACCCAGGTTTGATTCCAAGCCACCCAGGAGGACACAGTGACTGTCTAAATCACTGTCCTGTCTATATAACTAGAAAATGGACTCAGCAAGGTCACAGCTAGCTGTTTTCTGATGGTGGGAAAGGAGGGGCAGGGCTGATTCCCAGCAGAGGAAAACAAGCTGAGCAGCTCAGGACTAGTGACTGAAGACACAACACAGGCTCTAACTGAGGAAAACATGCAGAACAGCGAGGAAACAAACAGAAAGGCAAGCATATTGGGACCGGGTCACACCAGCTATCAAAACTGCTGCCCCAGTGGCTGGAGAGATGGCTCAGCAGTTAAGAGCACTGGCTGCTCTTGGAGAGGACTGGGGTTTGATTCCCAGCACCCACATGATGGCTAACAAGTGTCTGTAACTCTGGTTCCAGTGGGCACGACGCCCTCTTCTGACCTCCTTGGACATTGCATGATACGGGTGCACATACCTATATGCAAGTATTACACTCATACACATAAAATAAAAATAAATAGGGGCTGGAGAGATGGCTCAGCGGTTAAGAGCACTGAGTGCTCTTGTAGAAGACCCGGGTTCAATTCCCGCACCCACATGGCAGCTATGAACCATCCTTAACTCCACTGCCAGGGGAATATGAAACCCTCTTCTGACGTCCGTGGCATCGCACGACATGGGTGCACTCACATATACACAGGCAATATACTAGTACACATAAAATAAAAATATTATTTAAAAAAATAATAATTTTTAAAAACCTATTATGCCAACCAAGGGGCAAAGGGAAAAACAGAATAAATGTTCAAAAAAATAGGAAAGAATTTACCAAGTTTGATGAAAGCTATATATTCATGCAAACTAAACTATAACCCCAAGAAGCTCGGTGGGGTTTCCAGGCAGAATCTCAAGACAACACAGCAGAGCGTTCAGACCGACAGACTCATCGCGATGGTGAACGCTGAGAAGCAACTCACATTTCTCACCCCTTCTGAAGGGAAGGTGGAACCAACTAGTCACGTTCAAAAACACTTGGCAGTTCCCAATGAAGTAAAAGAGGTATTTTATCATAACCCAGCAACCTTACCCCAGATAAAGGAAAATATGAATGCATTCAGGACAAAGGTGGAAGAGCCCAGGCATCCTTCGATGACAGTCCACGGTGCAGTAAGAACACCTAAGCTACAGCCCTGAGGAAGCGTGGTGCTTCTTGAAGCCTTCTTAAAAGAAAACAAGATGCTGGCTGCATGCTACGTCACTTCATTTATGTGACATCCAGGAAAGAACTAAAGACGGAGTGCAGGTTGAAGGCGACTACACGACACAAAACTGTGGGGCCCACATCTGGTTGTGCCTATGTGACTGCATACATCTGTCAAACCTCTATAGAACCATATACACAGAACAGGTGCATTATTACAGGGAAATCGACCCCACTGCATTAAAAACAAAGAGAAAGCTTCCCACAGCTGAGATCAAACTAACCCTGCATGGTGCCTCACCTGAAGGGTGGGGTCATGGGGTCAAGACAGACTGCTCCCTGCTCTACTGTCTACTGTACACACACAGGGCAAGGCATGAGACATGTTCTAGACCTGCATACAGCCTCCATGTTCAGGCTGGCATCCTAACAATTTGACAACTGTGGGCACAGAATCCACAGCACTTAGCACAGAAGACTGACAGTTGGGGCTGTTGACGGATTCCAAGGAGGGGAAGGCTCCAGGCAGTACCTCTGTGGACAGCCACTCCTGGAGCCAGGAGCACTCTTCTGGACCACATCCAAGGCAGCCTGTTGCTAGGAAGTACAAGCCTCCTCCCTGGGGCACAGGGGCCATGTCTGATCAGGACCTGTGTAGCTTTCAACATGTCCATCTGAGTGCCCGCTCCAGGGGTTAAAACCTGAGTGTCCGACGAGTGAGGAAGCATGTGTCTGTCATCTCAGCTACTTAAGAAGGTTGAGGCAGGAGGACTACCAGTTCAGAGCTAGCCTGGACTACACAGTGAGACTGACCCCCCCTCCCAAACAAAACAAAACAAAAGAAAAAAGAAAACAGAAGCAGGACACAGCTCACTGTGCCTGAGAAGCCCACTGTATTATGGCATAGCCACACTTGGCCCACTGTGGTTTCCTGAGAATCTGTGTTGGAGGGAGCTGGTTTAGGGCAGGTTCTAAGCATCAGTTCGAGAGTTAGGAAACCCACTATGAACCACTGCTCAATTCCAGCTGGGATCTTGGCAAATATATCTCTGTTGTTACTGCTTTGATTTCCTTCTGTGTGTGCATGTGCAAGGAGACCAGAGGTCAATGTCAGGTGTCTTCCTCTATTGCTCTAATTTATGCTTTGAGGCAGAGTCTCTCTCTGAATCCAGAACTCTCTCCAATTCTCCTAGATTGGCTTGCTAGCCAGCTCTGGGCTCTGGGAGTCCTCCTGTCTCTGCCCCCAGTGCTAGGGTTAGATGTGCATGCACACTGCCACACCTAGCTTCCACTTGGATCCAATCTCAAGTCCACATGCTTGCACAGCAAGTACTTTGCCAACTAAGCCATTTCCCTAGCCCTTGCTTTGGTATTTGTGTGTGTGTTTCAATCTTTTTGAGATAAGTCTCCCTTGTAGCCCCAACTGGCCTGGAACTCACTACATAGACCAGGCTGGCCTCAGAGAAATCCACCTGCCTCTGCCTCTCAGGCACTGGGATTAAAGGTGTGCACAACCACACCCAGCTTGCTTTGGTGTGTTTTAAAAACATTACATTTACTTACCTATCTGTGTGGTGTACATGTGTGCAATTTTACTTATAGAGGGCAACTTTTAGGACCTGGCTCTCACCTCTACCATGTGAATTCTGGAGCTCAAACTAGGGTCATCACCCTTGGTAGCAAGTGCTGTTACTTGCTGAACCATCTCCCTGGCTCACTTTTGTGTTTTTCAGGCAGGGTCTCATGTAGCCCAGGCTAGCCCCAAAGTTGTTATGCAGTGGAGGAAGACCTTGAACTCTTGGTCCTCCTGCCTCCATGTGATTCGCAATTGTGTGGATTCCAGGCAAGGGCCACCATACCTGGCTTGGACAATGTGTGAGATTTTCTTATGGTCGAATAGGGGTCATCAGACAAGACCCCAAGTCCTGGTCAAAGTGTGCTCAGGCTCAATCTCTTACCTGAGAGTGAGATCCCCTCTGCGAGCCCATATGGCAGGTAGGCAAAAATGATCATCATGCCAAACTCCAAAGAAGGTGTTTTCCTCAGGTCTATGTGCTTTAGCACGTGATGCAGGTGTCAAGGAAAAAGGATCAAGGGGCAGTGGATAGGACATGCAGAGAAGCCACAAAAACACAAAGCAGACAAGACTACAAAAGATGCCAATCATTCCAAGGTTACCTGAAATTTTCTCACTACAGAATTTCTTTCTTTGCAGAGTGGCTGTTGTCATAAAAAATGACAATCTGACAAGATACCCAGACATGCTGACTCTGAGGGTTGGGGAGGGGCCAGACCTGCAGACATGGCCACCCTACCACCTTGTTCTCCAGGGACTCAATGTCCTGTGGAAAACTGTCTTTCCTGCTCCTGCAACCTGACACAAATGGCCCCGGGAAAGAAGAGCCTGTGAGGTCAGACAGATCGGAGGCCTGGACTGGCGCTGGGTCCCTGTGGACTTGCTCTAATATACAGACTGCTCTCTGCTCCCCTTGCCTCCTTTCCCCACTTTCTTCTTTCTTGTCTTGCTATAGAGCTTCTGCCTTGGCCTGCTGAGCGCAGGGACTGCAGGCATGAGCTGCCATGCCCAGCTCGAACACAGGCTTTGTTAAAGAGAAAGACAGCCATGTAGGAAAGAAAAGCACTGCACTGCGAAGTGTCTTCTTCACTCTGTTCACCGGTACAGTATGAGCAGCAGCCAGCCAACTCCACAGAGCCTTTAGGCTGCTGGACAAAAGAGCTGATGGGAGAATCCAACAGGGTGGTAGAAAAACACGCTTGGAGCCAGGTGAGAGTTTTCCAGCCATCTGTGAGACAAACTGTTCAAGGAGGGCCAGATGGCCATTCTGGAGACGTGGGCTTGGTGTCTGAAGAAAAATCTGGAGCCCGTTCCTATTTCCACATGAGGTACTGCTGCCTTAACAAGCCTCTTTGTTTCCCTGCTCAGTGGCGTGACGCACGCAAAGTCCTCCAGTTCTTCCAGATAAACCTTCTTACCGGGGGGTTGCAAAGTCCTCCAGTTCTTCCAGATAAACCTTCTTACCGGGGGGTTTCACAGCTTCACATTCTCAAAAAAATAATTTACAACTTCAATTTTTTTTTTTTTTTGGTCTTTTTGAGAAAAGGTTTCCCTGTTGCCCCAGCTGTCCTGGAAATAACTACGTAGACCAGGCTGGCCTTGAACTCACAGAGATCCGCCTGCCTCTGCCTCCCAAGTGCTGGGATTAAAGGCATGCACCACCACGCCTGGCCACAACTTAATTTTTTTTAACAGGGTCTCCCTGTTGCCCCAGCTGGCCTGAAATCCCCTATGTAGACCAGATGGGCCTCTGCCTCCCCAGTGCTGGGATTAAAGGCATGTACCACCATGCTCGGCATTTAATTTCCAACTTTCTGGATGTGAAAACGGAGGCAGCGAAGGAAGCCAGGGTATCTGTACATGGTTCTCACAGTCCAGTAGATGACGAATCCCAGACCAAACCTACCACCCAGTGTGGATCTGAAAAATGGCACCTTGTGGGTATAGTGGACAAGTCTGTCATCCCAGAATCCTGGGAGGCAGAGCCAGGAGGACTTCAAGTTCAGAAGCAGCCAGGAAGACCCTGTTGTGTAATGAAAAAAAAAGAAAAGTGATACCCCACATCTCATATGTTAAATTTAAGAGTCTTGGAGTTTAAATTAGAATGTTTCTCAAACTGGAGCTCAACAGAAAAATCTTCTAAAGGGACTAAAATTGGTCCCTTAAGAAAGCAGGAAACAGTGAGCGAATGAACTCATCAGAAGTCATCCCCTTGCCTAGTGCTCCCTGTGCCTAATGCTCCCCATGTTAAAAGGATATTAATGCAGAAATTAAGCCAGTGAGTGTGCCAAGCGCTGCGGAGCCGAAGAACATTTTGAGGAAGTAGCCAAGGGCCTGTACAAATGTTTGCCACCCACTGACATCAGACATATTTTTTCTTGTTAAACCTTCAGCTGTGCTAGGAAATAAAACAGAAAAAAGTTAAAATGCTATATAGTTCTCAAAAAGTAACTGAGAACTTAAAACTTCTTTCTTGAGTCTCCCATCATTTCTCCATTCTGCAGTCAGCCAGTCACTGCTTCTTTCTCCATTTACTTGTGCTGCACTGAGTAGTTTCTGGGGACTCAGAGGAGAGTGAAGGTGCTGCCGAAAATAGAAGGCAGGAGAGCATCTAACTTAGACTTGGAGGATGGGAGGTCAAGGAAGGTTACCGCGGCAACACAGGCTGGGTTTCCACTTAGGACAGCGTTTACAGCATGGAGAAATAAGAGAGGCTCCTCAGGCTGAGGAAACTGCTCCAACAGCAAGGAGACAGGAGCTCATGACAACACGCTGATTAGCGTTTGTCGGCCTGACAAAAACTAGAGTCACCTGGTAAGAGGTGACTGAGGAATTTCCTCTATCAAACTGGCCTGTGGCCATGTCTGTGGGGCATTTTCTTGATTGCTAATTGCTGTATGAAGGCATAGTCCAATGGCATAAGAGAGGTATAAGAAAGCTAGCTGAACCAGGTGTGGTGGCGCACACCTTTGATTGCAATGCTTGGGAGGCAGAGGCAGGTGGATCTTTATGAGTTTGAGGCCAGTCTGGTCTACATAGTGAGTACCAGGCCAGCTGAGGCTACAAGGAGACCCTGTCTCTAAAAAGAAAGCTAGCTAAGGGGGAGGGGTGGGGAGAGTAGTCAGCAGTACTCCTCCATGGTGGGGGGAAGGTTGGCAGTTCAACCCAAAGGCCTTACCTGTCAACACAAAGTGTTCTAAGTATAGGAATTTCACCATAAAACCTGAGACTGAGGCTTTGGCAAGAGATCAGGTTAGAATGGAGCCTGTCAGGAAAGGACTCAAGAGGCACTGAGGAGGAATTGGAGGAACTTTCCTTCCACTGTAACAGCAGAGCAAATTGTAGGAGGCAGTCAATGGTTGGTTTTATCCCCAAAAGGAAGAGCAGCATCAACAAGGATCTACTCCCATTAAGATCAGACTCTTAGATGGTCCCCTTCTCTCCCTCCACTCACAGGGCCACAGCTCCACATCTCTCTATGGATGTCCAGATGGTTTTCCAGCCAGATCTGCATCATCAGCAGAAGTGATCCCGTTAAAACACACTGACCTGGCCTAATCCCAGCACTTGGGAGGCAGAGGCAGGCAGATCTCTGTGAATTCGAGGCCAGCGTGGTTTACATAGCAAGTTCCAGAACAGCTGGTGCTACAGGGAGGCCCTATCTCAAAAAAGACAAAAAACAAAACAAAACCCAGAAACCAAAAACCAAAAACACACTGACCTAGGGTCCCAGGTGCTCAAAATGCTCTGCATGGCCTGGGTCCCTGACCTCTCCGCCCCACTTCTTCCTCTTCTGGGTAGCCCGCGTGCTTGCTGGCACTTCCCTGCAGGTCATCCTTCAGTGTCCCTGCCCTTGCTAGCTCCTCCATTCATTGCTCAGACACTTTTCCTGAGTCAGTCACAGGCCAGCTCACTTACAGATCTCCAGCTTTCTTTCAGAGCATGTGGCAACCGCAGTGGAGCTCTCTCCATCTGTTCACTGCCAATGGCCAGGGCCTAACCATGGCCCAGCACACCAGATACTCAGTGTGCTTGTGGCATCAGTCAACCAAGAACTGTCAAGAGCTACATTTAGCTTCACCAGTGTTTCCTCTGAAAGGAGACTGGACACGGTGGATCATGTCTTTAATCCTAGCACTGGGGAGGCAGAGGCAGGCAGATCTCTGAGTTCAAGGTCAGCCTGGTCTACATAGTAAGTTCCAGGTCAGTTGGGGCTACAGGGAGACCCTGTCTCAGAAAAGACCATTCAAAAAAAAGGAGAATAATGACAGGGGAACTCTGCCAGTTGACCTCAGGAAGCCCAGCGGACACTCACAGCCTGGAGGAACATGGTGAAAGTTCTGAACTCTTACAAATCAGAAACTGTCCTCAGGGGCCAGAGAGAAGGCTCAGCAGGCAGAGGTGCCTGCCACCAAACCCGAGGACGTGAGTGGATGATCCCTAGAATCCACATGGTGGAAAGAGGGACCAACTCTGAAAGTTACCCCTGGCCTCCAACACATAGGCTATGGCACATGCTCATGTGCACACAGGCACAAAGTGAAAATAAAGTAACAAAAAGGGATCTGTCTCCACACACGTCTCCCAGGCTCCTAAACACGCCACTTCCCTCACCCCTTCTTTTCCAGCAGATCACCTCAGGGAATGGAGGGGCCCAGGGCCTCATTAGAAAAGTACTTTGAGCATTTGGGAGGCAGAGGCAGACGCATCTCTGTGAGCTCAAGGCCAGCCTGGTCTACACAGTGAGTTCCAGGACAGCTGGGGCTACAGGAAGACTTTGTCTCAAAAAGACCAAAAAAGAAAAAGAACTTTGAAGGCCATGATCACCCAGGTCTCAGAAGGACCTGTGGACCACATATATGTGCTGTGAATAAGAACATGAGGTTAGGGGGCTGGAGAGATGGCTCAGCAGTTAAGAACAGAGGACTTGGGTTTGATTCTCAGCATTCACATGGCAGCTAACAACCATCTGTAACTCTAGTTCCAGGGTATTCCATGCCCTCTTTTGACCTATGTAGGCATTGCATCACCTGGGTGTACTTACATACATGCAGACAATACACATATATACATAAAATAAAAATAACAGTAAAATATTAAAAAAAAACCAAAACCAACAACCAAAAAACAAGAGGTTAGAATCCAGGCCCTGCTCAGGCCACAATATCTGCAGCAGCCTCTCCCGTCTCACAGACACCCACAGGTGCCTACTGAGACACTGTCTGTGAGTCCTTAGCTCACAGACATCCTGGGGCCAGAATCTTTCACCTGGGAAGTGAGTTTATATCAACAGGGTACAAGTGGCCACATATCTTGCTTCTCACCTCCTTCCCTGCCTCCTGCCAGGGAATCAGAGAGCCTGGCTGTAGACTTGTGCTAGAAAGCTCCCTCATCCTCAGAGAGGTCTAAGTGGGACTTCTACCATGTGGTACCTGACTTCCTCTCTTCAGAGCGCCTGTCTGTCCCTGGTGGTGGGGCTTGAGTTCTCCTTAGAGCCCCCACCATGCTGCTGTCTCACTGTCCATGGTGCTAATAACTTCCAATACACTCTTGACTCCCTAAGACCTGTCTCTGTGTCCCTCTTGAACTCACCCCATTCCAACCTTTCACCATGCAGCTCGCCCCTCTTTATTCCTGGCTAGAATGCACAGATTCTGTTGCCTGTTTTTATAGGGAGTGGCCAATGGTTTTTTTTTTTTGGTCTTTTTTCTTTTTGAGACGGAGTCTCCCTGGAACTCACTATGTAGACTAGGCTGACCTTGAACTCACAGAGATCCACCTGCCTTCACCTCCCTAGTGCTGGGATAAAGGCATGCACCACCACGCCGACTCCGCCAATGGTTTCTTATCTCCAGAGAAATGATCAGGTTCCTCTTGGCCCAGAGGATTTATTTCTTAAGAATCATTCATGCACCTAAAAAGTAGAAGCTGGAGAAAAACAAAAGGCCTCCTCCACAGCAATTTATGTTAAAACTAAATTGTCATAGCAGATTAAAGCTAAAAATAATCTGTCTGACAATGGCGGTGCATACCTGGCACGTGGGAGGCTGAGGTGGAAGAATCTGGAGTTCAAGGCCAGCCTGGGTTACAGGAGATTTTGTCTCAAAAAACCCAATGAATAAAGAAAGCTAAAAAATAATCTAAGCCAGGCATGGCAGTGCATGCCTTTAATCCCAGCACTTGGGAGGCAGGGGCAGGTGGATCTCTGTGAGTTCAGGGCCAGCCTAACTAGATAGTGAGTTCCAGCTGGGACTAAAGACCGGAAAAAAAAAAAAATCAAATCAGCTGGGCATGGTGGCACACGCCTTTAATCCCAGCACTTGGGAGGCAGAGGTAGATCTTTGTGAGTTTGAGGCTAGCCTGGTCTACATAGTGAGTTCCAGAACAGCTGGGGCTACAAGGAGACCCTGTCTCAAAAAAAAAAAAAAAAAACTAAAAAAAAAAAAAAAAAAAATCTAAAGAAGAAACAGAAGACAATTTGCTTTCTGGCACATTTGAAAGTGACATCTAACAGAGGTCCTTCATTTGTATATTCTACTGTAAAGGTGACAGTATGAGCACTTTGGAAAGAACTGTTGGTACAGGGTGGCCCTTGTCAATGAGCTTGAACCCCCTCAGATCCCAGAAGTGCCAGCAGTGCCCAGAGACTGAGATGCTGGTAGTTCAGAGAACAGTAAAAGGGGACAGTCTCCTATGCCCCTTCCTCCTGCTTCTGTCTGAAAAGGTTCCCAGCCTTCAAGTCTGGGGAACAAGACAGGGTTTCTGAGAAAACCTCAGTATCCCTCTTGCTTGCCTCTCTTGCTCACCCTGGACCAAGTCAGTCAAACTGAACTGATCTCTGAGCATCTGGCAAAAGGACTGTGCTCTAAAGGCAGGGGGGGGACCCTTAATACATCTGCAGTGAGTCCAACCCTAACGAGGTGGCTGTGCCAACAGGGGTGGAACCTGGAGGCCACACACAGGCAGTGTGCAATGATGACGTCTGTTCCCCTTGGTTTCAAAAAGATCCCTTAACTGTTGGCCATTTTGTACAAAGACCTGAAAAAACTCAGAAAATTTCCTATTGATAGATTTTCTTCTTCAAGTCAGAGACAAGTGACTAAGTTTAGCTCCTGACTATAAAAACAGCTCGTGATTCGGGATGTGGTGGCATGGCAGTACATGCCTTTAATTCCAGCACTCAGGAGGCAGAGGCAGGCAGATCTCTGTGAGTTCTCTGCAGCCTGGTCTACAGAGTGAGTTCCAGACCAGCGGGGGAACTACGTCTCAAAAAGAGAAAGAAAAACAAAAAAAAACCAACAAAACAAAACAAAACAAAAGCTCATGATGTCACCTTCACAAACAAATTCTTCATCACAATGGCTTGGTGTGTCACCAGGACATGGATGAAAGGAAAATCTAGAGCTGAACAGGTTTCAGAAAAGCAGGCTGGAGAGATGGCTCAGCACTGGCTACACTGGGCTTGGTGGCCCATGCCTGTAGTCCCAGCACTTAGGAGGCAGAGGCAGATGGATCTCTGAGTTTAAGGCTAGGCTGGTCTACATAGTGAGTTCCAGGCCAGCTGGGGCTACAGGGAGACCCCCCCCCAAAAAAAAAAGAAAAAAGAAAAAAAAGAGCACTGGCTGCTCTTAAATAGGACCCAGGTTCTATTCCCAGCACCCATATAGCAGCTAACATCTGTTAGTAACTCCAGTTCCAGGGATATCCAATGCCCTCTTCTGACCTCCATGGGCACTGCACAACATGGGTACTGCACAACATGGGTACACTTACGAACATGCAGGCAATACATTCATACACTTTAAAAAAAAGAAAGAACATTTTGTTTGTTTGTTTGAGACAAGGTCTCATGTAGTCCAGGCTGGCCTCAAATACCTTATGTAGCTGAGCATGACCTCAAAGTTTTGATCCTCTACCTCCTACCTACTGGGATTACAGGTGTGTACCCATCACACCCAGTGGGTTTTTGTTTGTGATTTTGAGACAAAGTCACAGTGTGAAGCCCCGGCTGGCCTGAAACTCTCTATGTAGACCAGTCTGGGCCCCAACTCACAGAGAGCTGCCTGCCTCTGCCTCCCAAGTACTGGGATCAAAGGCATGCAATAACACACCTGGCTCAAATACACTTTCTATACACTTACAATAGATTGTTAACTATAAATATCACTGGTAAAGATGTACACACATTTTCTTTCTCATGTGTATTCTAAATCTTTTTGAGATAGGTTCTCATGTAGCCCAGGCTGGCCTCAAACTATGTAGCCAAGGATGACCTGGAACTCTGGCTCCTCTTGCCTCCACCTTTAGGACTATAGGTATGCACTACCATGCC